ATCTCATTCTCTCTAACCCCTTTGTTTCCCTTGTGTTAACTGTGCTTCTGAGTTTAGCATCTTCCCTGGGCCTGCCCCTCCCTGGGAGGCCCCACCAGTTACTGAGCCAGCCCCTTCCGCATAGCCTGTTAGTCTCAAGCTAAGTCCCCTTCTCTTACGCCACAGGCTCAAGCCTGGTCCTCTCCCTTGGACCCTCTTGTCCCGGACTCCTCAGCCTTCTGACGCAGTTGCCCTGCAGGACTCCAGAGCCTTCTACTCCCCCAGGACTCCCAGTGTCTGCTCCCCCATTCACCTAAGGTAACTGTACAACGGTTCCGTATGTCAGAAGGTTCCAGGCCCTGGTTCTGCCTGCCGCACTGCCCCCAGCCTCCTCTGTCGGGCTCAGGTCTTGCCCAGTGCTGCCTCCACCGCCAACACCCTAGGCCAGGGCACGTGATCTCGAGTTGTCCAACAGGGCAAGGCCAGACCTAACTCACTAACCCACAGAGGGCACGGGGCACTCTCAGAAAAAGATGTGTTGGCATATAAAGCCTGGTCGCTTGCAAAAGCCGGGGAGCGGGCCCAGTGACTCAGACTCTGAGGTGTGGCCTGAAAGAGGTTTATTGCCCCCCAAGACCACTCCCTCCCACCCCCACCCACAATAATTACAAAAGTAAGAAAAATGCCCATGATCCCAGTCCCCACCCCTCCCAGAAAAATGCCATAATTTATGCAGAAAAAACAGTCCAAGGCAGTTGGTGACCTCAGCCCATCTTCTTCCAGATGGTGAGCGATGCCGTGAGCACTCCAGCCACAAAGATGGTCACGGTCTGCCACGTGGGTGTCCCAAAGTAGGAGAGAAGGCCATCCTGGGGACAGGAACAGTTACTTCAGCAACTTGACCAAGGGGCGGCCCCTAGGCTGGCACATGAGGGGTCAGGGAGAGGTCAGAGGGCATGCGTGGGAGAAAGCGCCTTAGATTAGCAGGTACCAAAAAGTTAGGGTCAAAGCATTACCAAAGAACTTCAGGGGTTCCAGATGAAGTAGGATCACCAGGGAGGGCAGAAGGTACTAGTCAGGACAGGAATCATGGGGGGCTAGGGGTCAGGAAGTCCATGGGTACCAGACAAATGAGGTTGGTCAGACTTATGAGGAAACACATTATAGACCACCTGGTGATCCCCAAATGGGGAGGGGCACCACTGTGGTACCTTGGGAGAGGCCCAGGGGTCGTCCCAGAGGAGTCAGGGAGGGGAGTTAAGAGGCCTCACCCAACCACCCTGGTCCTGGATCCAGCCCAGCAGCCGCTCTCGAAGGAAGTCCATTGTCCAGCCCATGATGGTCCTAATCAGTTCGGGCACCTTGGTGCACAGGGCCTGCAGGGTGTGGGGTGGGCCTTAGAGCTGGAACTTATCTCCACTACCTGGGGAGAGTGGCCCCAAACCTCCTTTCTCAACTCTGCCTCCCCTCCTGCCCCCTGCAGTTTCTTTTCCACTCCAAATGAGCTTCATACATTTTAAACTATTTCCTGTCAACTGCCCTGCTCACAAACCTTCCATGGCTCCTCCGTACCCCCAGGGATAAAGACTAAAGGGCACAGCTCAGCTAACAAGGCCTTGTGTGAAGGCTCTGACTTGATCACGTTCCAATTTTCCACTTTTCTGTGTGTCATTGGCCTTCTTCCAGATCATCATTCCCACCAAACTCTTTCCTGCCTCTCAGGACCTTTGCATATGCTGATTCTTCTGCTTAAACAGGCCTCAACCAAGCAAATTTTCACTCATCCCCCAAGCTTGGGTCTAAGGTCACGTCCCCAGAGAGGGCTTTTCTGACCTTCAGACCAGGTAAATCCTGATACACTTCATCCATGACCGGCTCCCCAGTTGCTTTTCCTTCCCCTTCCTCCCTCTATCGGGCTGCTTTTACCATTGTCTCCAGCTCCACATCCAGTCTACCATCACTGGGACTGCTGTCCCCATCACCTCCAACATTCAAGCCACATCAGCTCAATCTTGCAAACGTATCAAGCAGCCTACTTCCCCACCTCCCCTGCTCCCACCTGCGTCCAGGTCAGTCATCGTTCGCAGGACTGTTACAGGTACTGCTGCCCTTGTGTCCCATAAATCCCTTTTTCTACCCACAATGGCCAGAACAATTTGTTGTGCTTCCCTTCCCACTATGTTTAATCATGAGAATCTTCAGAGAGCCAAGTTAGAATTTTACAGTGAACAGCAGGATACCCACAACCTAGATTCCACAATTAACATTTTGCTATACAGGCAAGAGTAATCTCTTAAATTTATGAATCAGGTCCCCTCACTCTCCTAAAAGCAGTCGGTCACTTCTGTCCCACTTAGCGTTGAGAAAGCCTTTAAAGTGGCCCACAAGAGCCCCTGCAATCTGCCCTTATTTCCCACCCAACCCCCTCCTGTGTTCTAACCACACAGGCCTCCTCCCTGTCCTCAACATACCAGACTTGGTCCTACCTCAGGGCCTCTGCACATGCAGTGTGCTTTAACCTGCCTTTTTCGCCTGATCCTTATACCTTATACATCACTGCCTCTTTCTTATCACTGCAACTTTGGCTCTACAAGTCTTCCCCGACTGCTTGGCACAATCCTATCACCCTAGCTTATGGCTCTCAACACTCATTAGACCACAGGAGCTCTGTGAGAGCAAGGACCTAGACTGTTCTGTTTGTAGCTGTATCCTTATACATCAGGGTGCCAAGTACAGGTGGCCACAAAGTAGGCCCAACAGATCTTTGATGAATGAACCAATGAATGAAGCAGACAACCAGCCCATGGCTGTCCCTCCAGTTACTGGGCTGCCACAGGTTGACCTCATGACTCTGAGGAGGAGGTCTGAGGGGAGCCACCCTGGGCTCACTGCCCTGCAGATGCCCACCTTCAGCACCAGTTTGCTGGCAAAGTAGAAGAGGGCGACTACCCGGCCCCAGTTGAAGTTGCCATCGGAAAACATATCGGCTGCCACTCGGAAAAAGACCTCGCGGGGGGAGTCTGTGTCGACAGCTGCAATCATCCTGCAGGAAAGAGGATGGCCAGTGCTGGGCAGGGGAACCAGGCAGAATGCAGAAACCTGGGCCACCAGCCCATTCCAAAGAGAAGGAAATCGAGGCCCAAGCCAGGCTGCAGTGAAAAGCAAGCTGCCAGTGCGGGGAAAAAGGGCAACATGGACACTCAGGCAGGTGAGAAAAATAACTCCCTGAAGGAGTTTTAAGATCTGAGGGAGGGTAGGGCTGGGAGCGCAGAGTGCCGAGTCCAGGGATGGGGCCCCAGA